TCGTTCTCAACTAATTTCAGTTCAATTTTTTGCTTCTTGCTTATTTATTTATTATTATGTTTTCTTATTTCTTCGTGACTTACGTATCATACATTGTGCCAATATTAATTTAATAATGGTAGGCCATAAACTGAAATATACCGCCTCGTTATACATTAATCATAGCATAAGCGTAAATCGTTGTACTTTCAATGCACCATAGTTTGGCTAAAGTAGATTTCTTTTTTTATATTAAAACTGCGTTTTCAGATCCATATGTTGATAATGAATGTTTTAGTGGCATACAAGTACATTGAGTGTATTGTTTAATTTGATGTACTTCTTATGTTTATATATTCCGGATCTCTTGGCATTGTATTCTTGAGGCCATTGTTTACATTCTATTTGGTAAACTCCTGCATTGATTAATACACATCAAGCGCGTTTTGCTGCATTATGTATATATATTTTTGAATTTATATCCTCACACTATCGCATTTGAATAAGTAAAAAACTTCTAACCATATTCCTGCCAGTGTAGGGCATCTCGGCGTGGTGTAATGGTTAGCAAGCTTGTCTCGCTAGATCAGTTACGACTGAAAAGTGAGTTCGATCCTCACTAGGTGCCCCATACTTTCAGCCCTGCGCCGCATCTAAGCTACGTTTAGAAAATAACCATTTTTCTGTCAACGTTTTCAAAAGACCTAAAGAGTGGAGTCGGTAAAATTTTCAGGATAAATTTATATGATAAATAAACCACATAAATTTCAATGTTTATGCACTGGTTTTGCTATATGAACAAAGTGAAATAGAAATATGATTCATAAATAAATAAAGCTATCAAAACTTATTTGCAGAATATTCCTGTATATCTGAATAAAGTACAGGGTGTCCCCAAAAATTTGGCATCATTTCGCAGGCCAATAATTTGGGCAATTCTTGTTGAAATAACCTCAAATCATCACAGAATGAGTAGAAACAGATGAAGATTTTATATTTATTTTTTTTAATTTTTGTTATCTCAGAGAGATGGCTCAGGCGTGGTGGAAAGGAAGACAGTTTTCTGATGAAATGGCTGCCGCGGTCACCGGACCTGTCCTCGTGTGATTTCTTTTTATGGGGATATGTGAAGGGACTGGTCGAAATCAAGTCGAGAACCACTTCCGCATTGGATAGCGGAGACATGCTCCATAGCTTAACTAACGACTTGACATGTGCCGTGTCACAGGCAGTACACATATTGAACAATTATGAAATCGATCCCATAATAAACTTATGATGTTTAATACCTAAACTGTTCAGTTTCATTGAGCTAGACTTCATAGTTTTCAAGATAATTGCTTTTAAAATGATGTCAATTTTTTTGGACACCCTGTATTGTTTTAATATTTTACATGTTAAGATGTCTCCTTGACGTTCTATAGCCTACATCAACAGTTTAGGCATTGATTTGTGAAATTCTGTTTTAATTTAAACATTACTTGGAACAATTTTTATTGCTTCCCAGAGATCTTCTTTGCTTGAATATTGTTTTCCATTCTCATAGGCATCTCTTTTAATGATGGATCACAATTTTCAGTTGGATTAATATCTGGTGAGGCTGGGGTCACATTACTTGCAACAGTTTTTATGGCTTTCCACAGATCTTCTTTGCTTGAATATTGTTTGCCATTCTCATAGGCATCTCTTTCAATGAGTAACGACAAATTAAATAATTTAATTTTTCACTTTTTTCTCCGCAAATATAGGCTCCTTGAGATTCTATAACCTTCTTCAATCTCTCTCCCATTGACTTTTCTTTAACTTTTCTGCTGTTTTCACTTTAACATTACTTGCAGAAATTTTTATTTCTTCCCACAGATCTGCGTGAATATTGTTTTCCATTTTCCTATACATCTCTTTTAATGATGGGCCAAATCTTTTATACTGAATTAATATCTGGAGAGATTGAAGGTCATCCCATTAATTTAAAATCCTGGAAATGTTTTTTGGCAAATAAACCAATGGTCAGCTGGATAGACCGTCCTAACTTACATTCTTTCACAAAACATATCCTCCAATCAACGTATGGACAATCACCAGGTATAGATGAAAATGCCCACTAAAATTTCAAAAAGCACACATATGCATACACATTATTACTCGAATCCGACATAGACAAACTAGAATTGTGATATACATACACACATGAATTATACACACTAACACTGTTTGAGAGATTATATACACACGAGGTCTGGCTAACCAATGAAAAACAAACAACACAAAAAATATACGAGAATTTTCTTTTGTTTTATATTCCACTACTGATGAAGCTTGAATAAAAGCGAAACATGTGGATATAGATCCGACAGTATGAAAAAAAATATATGGAAAAACAAAAATCCGAATATGCAAATATGCTGTTTTAATGTTGTTTCAATGTCGACGTCAGAAGTGATCATATTGCGAAACGGAACGCTGATCTTAAAAATGTCAGTTACTCTGTTTTGATTAGTCTTATGTCTATCGTCTTTTCATGTTGACTTGAATATCGTCTAATTTTAATTATGTTTTAATAACTATGTCCTGAAGAAGGTCTACTAGACCGAAACATCTGACATCAACATTGAAACAACAGTAAAACAGCATACTTGCATATTCGGATTTTTTGTTTTTCCATATATTTTCTTCATATATATATATATATATATATATATATATATATATATATATATATATATATATATAATACGAGTCCAAAAGTGTTTATAGACTTGCTTAGCAAGTAGTTTATTCTTTCGAAAAGTTATGAAGAAGGCCGTTGTGTTTACCCATATTTTCAAATTTTAACTAATCGATATATATATATATATATATATATATATATCGAGACAAAAAAAAATGAACGCATCCATAGAAAGGCGGTTTTTGTATTTTTACCAAGATAAGTGAGTAATAGAATTCATTTATTAATACAGGGTATTAATACAGGTGTACATATGTACATGATACAAGTCATAAAATGATTTAGTATTTTATTTGGTAAGCTTTTACTTTAATAACGCCATTAATTCTTTGTGACATGCTTTAGACTAAATTCTTTAGTACACGTCAACAATCTTCGCCAGATTTTTCCAGCACCCCTTTAATTCGCGAAAAACCTCATCTTCTGTGTTAAATTTCCTATTATGAACACGCTTGTCTATTATCACCCAAAGTTTTCAATTGGCTTACTGTCAGGACTCTGACTAGGCCACTGGAAGAGTTGCAATTTATCCTCGTCTCGCGCTTCCTCTCTAGATAGCGTTTATTCTTTAAGGCAATATGATTAGGATGGTTATCATTACTAAAATATTTTTTGACTTGTATAATGTACATATGTACACTTGGATTAGAAAAAATTATTACAAAAATCGACTTCCTATGGGTGCGTCTATTTTTTGCCTCGTACTGTGTATATATATATATATATATATATATATATCCTTAATTTCTATCATTTGTATATCCTTGCTTGAGCCAGCTTCTAATGCTCTGGATGGAGCGGCTTGGTGATGGTAGTCGTGGCTCTTGGAGGCACAGTCCTATGGGTAAAGGAACTTGGATGAGTTCCACCACGGAATATGTGAACGAGCGGCGCAATATCGAGTCTAGTTCGCTACCTCCGAGGCCCGTTAGTACAGTTGGTATGACGTTTGCCTGTCAATGTAGCTGTCCGGGTTTCAATTCTCGGTAGTGGATGCACACTGCTGATGAGTCCCAAATATAGGACTAAACGGCCGTCCAGTGCTTTCTGCATTCTGTTAAGATTTCTTCTAGACTCGATGAATTATTTAATTATCTCAAATTCTCCTTATTTTCTATTATATATATATATATATATATATTGAAATGGACTAAATCCGACAATTATTTTGATATATTCTCTGTTTATACGTTATTTTTATAGATACAAATATTTAAGTAAATGCTCTGTTTATAATAAACAATATTAACATTTACTGGCCTAAATGTCTGAGAAATTTTCATAGAAAATATGTGTCCCCCGACAGGAATCGAACTTGTATCCTACACGGAACCGTCATATAGTCTATCGTGTTCTACCATTTAGCTACAGTGGAAGAGTCTTGTTAGCAAAGTCAAACCATGTGAAATTCGTTGTTCAAAAACAGTGATTTGACCGGAAAATATTTGTTCTATAAATTCGTTGTATTCGTTAACTGAAATTTGCTTGTTTAATGTTTTGGACAGAGACATTTTCTGCTTGAACGGATTATTTTTTTTTTTTTTTTGCTTGCAAGACAGGCAAATGGTGATAAGCAACTATCAGAGTCATTATAGGTACATTTACAGAAGCTTTTTCTCAAAACAACGAAAAGAAACTAGAGAGGGTCATCAGAGTGGATCAACAAGATTAGTGCAGTTATCAGCGAAATCTGTGATCTGAAATATTTACTGTACAATGTCACTAATGAAGAAGCATTAGGTGCATTAACAAGGAAGGAGAACATATTAAAATAAATATTTTTGCGTAAAATTAATACTTTTGAAACATTGACTGTTTGACGTAGCTATGTAGATATGAAAAGAATGCAAGAAGAAAAAAACAGTAAAGAGAATGAAAAAAAAAAAACACAGAAAAGTAAAGAAGGAAAAAAGAAAGAACGATCGAACGAACGACCGAAAGAAAGAAAAAAAGAAAGAAAAAAGAATAAAAGGACATAGAAGGAAGAGAAAAAAAAAACGAGAGCAAAGAAGAAAAGATAAAAAGAAATGATGAATGAATGAAAAAGAAAGAGAAAAAAGAGTGGGAAGAAAGCAGAAAACAAAAAACATGGAAAAGAAAAGAGAAAAAGAAAGAAAGAAAAAAACGGAATGAATGAATGAGAAAGAAAGAAAGAAAGAAAGAAAGAAAGAAAAGAAAGAAAGGAAAAGAGAGAAAGAAAGAGAAAATAATGTTGGAAAGAATAAAAATGTTTCGTGGAATTGTCGATTAAAAACAATATTAAAAAAGAATGTATTTTTGGAACTTTATTCATGTAAAAGTTGTTAGTACTTTTTTATTATTAATAATAATAATAATATTAATAATAATAATAATAATAATAATAATACTGATGCCGGTCTATCAGTTTGTAAAAATAACGGACGAAATTTCCATTTAACCGCCACACGCAACATGCCAAGTCGCTGAAAGCCAACACTGAGAGCAGTAAGATACGGCATTAAAATCACCTCTGGAGACTCGGTGTTTGCTTCACGCCATCATTCGGCCATTGCAATCGATCAGTAACATTGGGCAGCATAGAAGCAAAAGAGAGCGAAGGAAATATATATATATATATATATATATATATATATATATATATATATATAAAAAAAAGAATCATATAAGTGAAAGAAAGAAATTTCATCATCATCATCATCATCAGACGCAGTAGCAGCAGCAGCCGAGAATGTCTATTTGTTCGAAGAAAAGAAAGGTTTTCAGCAGCCGGTGCCTGGGTTTATTACACGCGTCTGATTCTCTGTTGATGGCGCTTCTGAAAATACGCAGCAGCATCTGAAGACGTAGTTATCAACGCGTTGCGCGCACACAATACTCGGCGATGATTGATTACAAGACGGAAGTTAATGTAGGATTTGTGGAAAAGAGACGCACAGGAACGAGCGGTGAGAAGACAATACAGTCCGAGCTGAATATTGTCTCATCTATAGACTCATAGTTACTCAAACATATACCCGGATGTACGCATACATCTTTTTAAGCGCTGTCGGTGTCTTCAATCTAAATCTGGCTTCTGTCTCCTAAAACGAGGCGTCAGAAACCAGAACAATGCAAAATTTACTGAAAGATTTTAATTTTTAAGATACTAATGCTCAAAATGAATAATTTGTAACTTGTAGGAAATGTTTGAAAATAATTGTTTACATCGGATTGTTGTGGTGTTCTCCCTCTAAAGAGTCAATGTTAGACTCTTCCGCCTACTATAAGATTAGTAGGAGAGAAGGCTTCGGGGAACAGTGATAGACTGTTCGTTACTGTCGAACTATCTGCCTTGAGCGGAGAGGAACCAGGACGAGGTTTTGCCTAAGGGCAAAGTTTCGTCCGGGGAGGTAGACAGACCCTGAACCCGTTTATCCGAGTTCTAAGGGAATATTTTTGGCCGAGCCTGTAGACTCGGAGAAACTCGGCCTTGTGCCACATACATCCCTCGTGTGTGTGTGGGGGGGAGGGGCTCTTAAATACTAACAGTGAATAGATTGTTCTACCGAGGCTGCTGTCTAACTCTCTACATTTGGGCAGAGTGGAACCCGGACGAGACTTTGACGAAGTAGGAGAGAAGGCTTCGGGGAACAGTGATAGACTGTTCGTTACTGTCGAACTCTCTGCCTTGAGCAGATAGTAACCCGGACAAGGGTTTGCTGAAGGCCAAACTTTCGTCCGGGGAGGTAGACAGACCCTGAACTCGTTTATACGGGTTCTAAGGGAATATTTTTGGCCGAACCTACAGGCTCGGAGAATCCACGGTAAACTCAGCCTTACGCTAGATACATCCCTAGTGGGGTGGGGGCTGTTAAATTATTAACAATGAATAGATTGTTCGCTAGTTCATTCGATACACTGTCTCTAGTCGTGTAATACTCTTCTGGTGTACTTCCTGCTTAATATACGATATATCTGCAAAGCTGGTTTTTGTTATTACTTAGCCATTTACTTGGTCACGACACGGATGAAACTTGAAATTGTTAGACGCTACAAATGCTGATAAGAATTTAAATGTCGAAAATCAGAACTCTCCTGGTTGTTACGAAACCTAAATGAAAGTTCTATTTATATTTTTACCCTAAATCGGCTTCAATCAACCTCGCATCGCCGTTATTTAGTTCCCCTGCGCCATTTGCATGTATAGGTTCAAGGCCAATTGTTTTGATGAGCTTTCCTCTCTGCTACCTCGACTTCATGAATATGACCGTCGTACTTGATTGAATTGGCAGCATTTTACTTCTGAAATTGCTAGATGTAACCGTAAGTTCTATGCTGACAGTTTCTTCTCTCTCGCTCCTCGTGTGCGAAACTCTCTACCAGTTGCTTGCTTTTCTGTCAACTACGATCATCGAAAATTTAAATGCAACGTCAATGATCCCCTTCCCTGAGTTGTGTTCTTTTATTGTTCTTTCTCCTCCACACTAATGCTTTCTTTTTTTCTTTCACTCCTACAAACCCCTTGAATCTTAGTGACTTTATCGCCTTGTTTGGGTTGAAAGGATTAAAATGAAGGGAATCAGTGGAGACAAATGTTATCAAATTTACATTCTTTACATTCGAACTAATATATGATTTTATTATCACATTATTAAAGCATTGGTTTATAAATGTGATGACGTAGTTATTATGAGTTCGATCCCTGGGTCGGGTAGTACAGGATGAGTAATATAATAGCTGACCACTCGTATTTGAGGGTACGCATCTATTAGGGCGGCTAGCCAATCCCTATTGCAGACGTTCAGATCTTTAGAAACGATTGTTAAAGGTCAATTATATACACCCTTGTGCAAATTAATTGAAACAACTACTTTCCTTTCTTTCACCATACGGTCAGTTTTAGACCCACTATTTTTATCTCAGATTGAAGTAGTATGCAGTAATAGGAATCTATTTTCGGGGGTTATGAGGAAATTTGTTTAGCCTTGAAAAATATCGCGTCATCCGTGATTGCATCAGATTTTTATCACGACCAGACACTATTGTCTCGACTGTCAATTAGTTGTCCCACGACCATTGTCTGCGATGGACGTTACTCCAAGGAGGCGTACGAAAATTGTAACGCTGAACGAATACACTGGTAAGCCTTACCAGTGAGCAAATCAAAGTATTATCGACTGACCCGAAAACACTTCTGACTTAAATCTAATCGAGAACCTGTGGTCAATTTGCAAGGAACGACATACGGAGTACTAACGTGTGCACTGGGTCATGTTTCATTGGAAAATACGAAAAAAAATAATAATGGAATTATTCGTTTTGTTTCAATTAATTTGTACAAAGGTGTACATAAAAACCAATTATATGCATATAGACCAATTATATACATAAAGGCCTATGTGATGGCAGTCGACACATCATTATTGACAGATTTGATCCATGTTTTTAGTTCTAGTGAGTACGACAATGACACTTGAAGCCAGCAAGTGAATTACAATGCTTATTGCAGTCACGATAAACTAAGTTGTGTTGTACAGGGCTTGGTCTGTTTTGTAAATTCTGTTCAGGTTGCTCGTGGGCTTTCATGTGATGGATAAGACCGGTCGGTTTCCGCATGTTAAGTTATTCCCAGCGTAGTATTGGTCGCAATTTGTCAAAGATCTACCAATATGCGTCTTCTTGTGGTTAACAATATACTCTACCACATTTATTACATGCGTTGCTGTATCAATGGGTTCTCCTGTAATAGCTGCACATTTAGCATTTGCCCAACTCATTGCATGTTCTTGGAAGATCTTAGTGTCTTCACTGAGTGTACGCTTCCACTTATTATTCCAGTTAGAGTTATCCCTCAAATTTCTTTTTTCTGCAAAAGTTGCCATTTTCTCGTTAATGTTTAAATATTTGGGACCAAAATTCCATTTTGAGGGGAAAATTGGACAAAATTGGTCCATGACGATTACAAATATCTGATTTAATCTAAAACACTTTCCAAAATTGCAATAACATATTCTCTTTATGATTTTCTACATTTTCAAATATTTTGATGAAAATTACTTATCTGAAGAATGACTGAATTTGAACCGCATTTCGTTAAACGCCTGACAGAATATATTTCTATAGATCGCAATTTTCCTTGACTTAGAACTAAAATCATATTCTTTGTTAAATCTTCATCTTCTTGAATAGAACGTAGCATTCTGAAAAATCCTTAAACTTTATGAACGTTTGTGTTGGGTGAATATGGATTAAAAGTATGTCGTTTATAAAATCAAGAATTTTTGCTTTGAAAAGGAGATCCTTTTCGTTAGAGCTGATTCTCTTTAATGAAATATAATAAGGCATATCACCTCCGCTCTTATCATATTTTGATATGGGACGTTGACTGAAATGAATTCTCTCGATTATGCTCTGCTGCTTGTCATTTGAGCGAAGAGCATAGAAAACATTTTTTTTCTCAGCATCTCTTCCTAACTTCTGACAAGTACTTCACTTCTAAAGAAGTTGGTGGCACCTACCAAAATAAAATCAGACAAAAATAGGAACGTTGTTGGTTAACCGGAAGCAGCAGTGCCAAGTAAAACTTTGGCGGCTTCCGTTTCCGGCGAACACTTTCATTCATGCCGAAGAATAGTTTCTTATTATACAAGAAATTTTTTTTTTAAACTGGACAAATCAATCCTGTAAGATTAATTTTGGAGTTATTCGTGGCTAAGATTCGAGATTTAGTCGAACTGCCAGAAGAGTCGAAGGCAATGACAACCAACAGGTCAAAAATTTTCAGGCTGGTGACTACACACTCATTTGGGAGAAAGAAACCTTTTAAAATTAGTCAAAGAGTTATAAATTTAAACTTTTAAAGACTTAAAAGATTTTTTTTTTTTTTTAGTTTAAGAACTGTTTTATGACACAATGAACTTTTCTTGATTTGCGGCTGCAGCTTAGTAATTGCAGATGGAATTCAGTAGTACAAACTAAGGCGAAGATGTTTAAGGTTCCATTGTTGTTTTCGGATGTCATTAACGAAAATGAATGTTACATAAATTTTGACCTTTTCAAGTTACATTTATAGGCTTCTTAAGAAAAGTCACATCGATAACAAGTGAAAAAGCAAGTATAGATCTTATTAATTTTTGCAATTTATTATCATCCAAACGTATCAGTAATTTATAATTCCCAAATAAAAGAATTAAATTTGTTCCCTTGAAATTCTTTGGCATCTGAAGCAACAGTTATATAACTTTAAGTGAAATGCATATTTGTAACTTTTGAAATGAGAGCTTTTAGCCCTTTTCTCTAGAATGTTCGTCTTTCCGCAAATTCCGGTGTTGC